CCCGGTGGAAGGAGAGAAGGGGAAGATGGGGTGCGTACCATAGTGAGAGGTTTGCGATTAGGAGATTAATGTAAAGGTTGCTTGTTTTGGGGTATCGTGATGGGATATAAGCGACAGAACAAGTGCGCTGACAATCATGTATCGTGGCTGTGATCGCGACTGGAAGCACGGGTACGAGACAGTCTCATGGCGTGATGTTCTAGAGATAGGAGTGAAGAGAGGGGTGTGAACGGTCAGTGGTGTTGTCGCGACTAGACTCCAGGGCCGCGGCGCAAATGAGAACAACGTCATGCCCGGGAGCTTGGACGGCTGGACCCAGCACCGTACCGGGTAGCGAATAAGGGGTGCGCCGGTTCAGAGCCGAACCTCACTGATCAACCACACTTTCTTCGCCCGAAGTTAGTTGGCGGTACGTTGAGCTCGTCGTTGTATGTAGATAATAAGATGTGAAAGGATATAAGTTCTGTAGGCACAAAATTTGTCTCTTCTTCGAGCAACGGCCGAGTTGGTCGTGGACAGTCGTCAAACCAGACCAAATTCGCCCATTACCTATGCCTTTCTGCCGTACTTGCAGAGGACAGTCACTAATGGTCGCGGCTGATACACAACGAAAAAGGCATGTGTCACTATCATATGAATTGACAGAACCCTTCTATCCATCAATCCAGCTAGTATTCATGAGCCCAGACGTAGATGCTCTCCGACAACCATCTACCCGCTCCTTAAGCCTCTACTAACTACCGCTCGCATACCGTTCCATTCCCTTGCTGCCACATGTTCACCTAGCTAACCAGCCACCCGCTCAGTCCCACCAGTTCCGCAGTGTTATATCACTGCCCAGCTCAGGACGCCCATTTTCTCATAGCTGGCCAATTGACCTTAGCAAAGAGAATGAGCAACGAAGAAAAAGAAGATGAAGACCCGACCAACCCATTTTTGTGGTGAGAAGATGAAAAGAGAACCCGGATCAGACGACCTTGAAAGGACGGACGCCACCCAGCACGAAATGGGAATATGTGATGAACCCCAAACCTGAATGATTCGAATGGCTTCAAACCAGGACACGAAACAGAGCCTTCCATCGATTCATTCATGCGTCGGTCATAGCCGGCGGCACTGGCGCATCCGAAGCCTTCTCCTTAGGGGCTTCCTTTCCCGTCTCGACAACCGGAATCCCTCTCGCGTCCACACGCTTAGCCGGGCGTTCCTCCTGCTTGTCCTCGCCATCGCGGCCGCGCTTTTCACCCCTGGCCTCCTCGCGCTCCTGGTTGCGGTTTCTCGGACCATCGTCCCTGCCGCGACCGCCACGGCCGCCACGACCACGGCCACGACCACCACGACCACCACGCTGGAAGTCGTCTCTCCTGCCCTTCCAGTCCTTGTTGTCGCGCTCTCCATCGCCGTCTTTCCTATCCTTGTTGTGGAAGTTGCCGCCGCGGCCACGACCACGACCGCCGCGGTTGCTGCCGCGGAACAGACCGCCCTGGTTGGAAGGCTTGATGCGACCGGCCTTGATATCCTCGGCTTTACCCTCGACGTACTCCTTCTTGGACTTGATCTCAAGGTCCTTCCCTTCAAACTTGGGTTTAGGGTCGAGTGCCAGGAAAGCCTTTTGGGTATCTTCAGAGTCGAACTCAACGAAGACGGAGCCCTTGAACTTGCGGTCGGGGTATGTGCGGCGAAGGCGGATGGCGTTGACGGGGCCGTAGGGAGTGAAGAAGGCTTCGATGTCGAACTGAGTGGAGGCCTTTTCCTCGCCGAAGCCCTTGACGTAGATGCTGCGGGGCTGGGTGCGGTCTTCGTAGACTTCGGTTATGTTCTCGGGTAGAGGACTCTTGCGCTTTACTTCTTCGTTCTCAGTCACTTCGAGGAAGGTGCTGTTCTTGAGCGCTTCGAGTACAGCCGAGTAGGGTTGGAAGTGGCGCATGCGCTTGAAGCCATGTATGACCTTGATGGGAACCGACTTGTTTTCATGGCCGCCGGTTTGCTGCATGAGGAACGCATCTTGCGGGAGGTTGGAGTCGGAAAAGTAGAACTCAACCTTGAGGCTGGTTAGCTACTGCGCGTACTTGGCGCGAGAGAATGATGGCGCGCATGTGACCATCCGGTACGGGGTGAAGTACCTGCTTGCGGATCTCGTCGTGATCGCTGCTTTCCTTAAGATTGCTGGTTTCGAACTTGCTCTGGTTCTGGAATCTGCGAGGAGGACCTTTGTGCTGCTTGCGGGGGGACTCTTGCTTGCGCTCAGACTTGTCCTCAGTTTTTTCCTCAGCCTTCTCCTCGACCTTAGCCTCAGCCTTCTCGGCGGAAGCCTCAGCGCCATCCTTCTTGTCCTCGCTGCCATTCGTAGCAACCTCGGGCTTGGGAGCTTCAATGAGGTTAGGTTCTGGCGGATAGAGGCGCGGGTTGTGTTACGAAAGTACCTTCATCAGACTTGTTCTCCGCCTTCACTTGCGCGTCCTGCGCGGCCTCGGCGACGGAGGCGTCTTCCTTGGGCGGGTTCACCGTCTGGTCGTTGGAGATGGAGGTCGCAGCCGGGTCCGGCTCGACAGCCTGGACGGGAGTGTTGGTGTCGGACATGGTGAGGGTGTGTGAACTATTGTAAGGAAGTAGTTGGGTTTGGGCGATAGTGAAGCGCAACGGGTGTTGCGGCGGAGTTCTGCGGTGTGTAAGAGCAGCGGTGTTTGGAGAGGCTTGCGCTGGGAGAGGCGAACGATATGATTTATATACGGAGGAGTCGCGTGACAATGGACAATGCGACAATAGCTCTCCAGTTTGCACAATAGCAGGTGTTTTTACACGGTGAAGACGGTGAAGGTGGGCTGTATGGAAAATTCCCTGCGGCGGGGACTTGGTCGGGTCAGAGCTCCGAGTCGGAGGTCTTGGCATTGGCGGAGCGGAGCGGATCATTCGAAGCCGCTGCGCTCTGGAAAGTTGCGGCGGCGGCGGCGACGATACACTGCAACACCACCACTCCATCTCATATACCACCGCTTCAACAATCATGAGGAAGCGATTGCACGCCCTCAAACATCCGGTCCGCTCCCCCAATCGCAAAACCGTCCATCTACGCTAACGGGACGAACAGAGACTCCGGGCGGACTGGTCCAAGGAAAACCTCTACAACCTTGCTCGCCAGGATACAAACCTATCGCAGCAAAACGGGACATTCTTCCAGCAGAAATGGGACGCCAAATCCAGGACACGCGCCTTCCACGGCGAGTATATCGGCGAGAAGAAATGGCAGCGCATGTTTAAACGCACTCTACCTGCCGTTGCGCCCATGGAACCTCGCTACCTCGCTCAATACGATGGAAGCGAGCAGGCCAAGGGCCGAGGAAGTGGCCTCGTCTACGCAGATGGCAGCGGGGAGGTGCAAGTGCAACAGAAAAGTACGCCGTATATGAACATGACCTTTGGCCCGATCGAAAGAAGATTAGACATGGCCGTGTGGAGAGCCCTCTTCGCCAGCAGCGCAAGACAAGCCAGGCAATTTGTCGTTCACGGTTGGGTCAAGGTCAATGGCAAGAAGGTTAGGGTCATTATATCTCGTTACGAAATCGCAACTTCTGACCAGAATTGCTACATAGATGATCTACCCTGGCTACCAGTTGAACCCCGGCGACATGTTCCAAGTAGACCCCGAGCGCGTTATGTGGGCAACAGGCGCCCGCAAGGACGAAGAAAAGTACATCCACGAAAAATCCGCTGCCGCTATGGAGCGTCGCAACATCGACGCAGAGAGCGAGCGCGATGCTTCTCGGGAGAAGAGGGATGAGGAGGTCAAGAAGATGGAGGCTGCCGAATACGCGGAGCAGTATACAGACAGCCCACCCACAGAGGCCAATGCCGCCACCGACGAGGCCGTGATAGAAACAGTACAGCCCAACACCGACCCGACGTCCAGCGAGTCCTCCGAAGTCACAACAAAACCCGCCGACGAGGAAGCCACCGGCGTTCCTAAAACAGTGAGCCCTGTATCCGAAGAGGACGCCGCTGAGTCAAAGAGAGTCATCGAATCTCTCCTCGAACGCACCAAAGCCCTCCTCGAAAACGAAAAGGACGACATGTCCGCCAAGCGCAAACAAGACCTCCGCGGCTTCTCCACCGTCCTCACCAAAATGCGCGGCGTCGTCAACCGCGGCCGCGGCGTCTCAAACTCCATCACCGACGATCTCGAAGCCCAGCTCGCCGGCATCATCACCAAGCTCCGCAATGCAAAGAACCCGGGCGGCTTCGCCGCGCCTGAGCAACCCGAGCAGCAGGCAGAGACGCTTACTCGGGAACAGGAGGAGCTGTTGGCGGAGGCTATGAAGAGGTTGAGGGAGAACCCCATCGATGAAACGAAGCCGTATGCTACGCCCTGGAGACCGAGACCGTTTATGAGCGCGTTTGCGTTTATTCCGAGGTACTTGGAGGTCAATCAGAATGTGTGCGCGGCTGTGTACCTCAGGCATCCGGTTGCGAGGCCGGGCTTGGCGGAGGTCCCGACGCCGTTTCCACATGATACTAACCAACTCGCTTTTGCATGGTACTTGCGGAGGAGGTAGAGCAGTCTGTGTGGTAAGGTGCGGGGACTTGGGCGATGGGAACTCCAAGTGGCATCTTGGGTGTATATTAGCGTGGGCATGGGAATAAGAAAAGATAAAATGGCTGTACGTATGTACAGTATCTGTACGGGCCGCAGATTGGAGTGGAATGATACCACTCTGTAAGAGAACAATCAATTGCTCGTCTCAGCTTGCAAGGACTACGCAGCTCTGTGTCTCGTCTGCCTCCAGGAGGTGGATCGAATACATTTCACTCAAATTGGACCATCAGAACAATGTCACTAATACACAGCTGGGAATTCACCAAAGCGGCAAATCATTTCGATCGTCAACCGCTGAACATTCTCCACCTCTCTAACCCCAAGGTCAAGCAAAAATAACAGCTCCACCCGCCATCAAGCACCGCTGATAAAAGACGAAAAAGTCAAAAAGACATACGCATTTCAGACGCGACACAGACAAGATTCGAACTTGTGCGGCCGAAGCCAATAGATATCGGTTACATTCGAGTCTATCCCATTAACCACTCTGGCACTGTGCCGAGATTGTCCAAATTTCGTCGACAAAGAGAAAAATATACGTATAGTGGAGCGTAGTGGAGTTTGGGGGGCGATGACTGTGAAGCGAGGTGGCTCGGTCCGATGTGGTGGATGCACCCCACTTCTGGAAGAAGAACCCAGTGTGACAACATTCCTGGATTTAATAACATCAGAGAGATGGTGCTCCTGATGGCATGTCGGAGAACAGTTGATGCTCGGTGTAGGTGTTGGTAGTTGTGGTGACGATGCTTTGGACAGATTTCTTACATGGTGATAACTTAAGTCAACGTTGTCGTCCTATGCTGAAGACCGGGAACTCGACACGAGTTCCACGCTTATTTATTGGGGGTGATAGATGGTCTTATTACCGCACTTAAGAGTCTTGAGTCCCCTAAAAGATGCTGTTTATTGACGTCGAGCTGATAAGGGAGCATGATTGAGCTTGCTCCAGCTGTTGTATTTAACTGTTACATTGCACAGTAGCATCTCCATCCCACTCTACGCGGCAAACGGCCTCCTATCATCAGCGAAGTTTTGCAAAAGAATCATCTTGAAAAACAAAGACTATAGATATTTAAATCGTTGCGGGAAGAGAGCGTCTTCGACGAGCCGAAGACCACCATGCCAGTCATTAACGATTCCACAACCCCCTTGCATTACATACCATCATTCTTCGTAAGAACATCAAGATCAAAAAAGAACTCACTTCCAAATCAGGACTTATTTTGAGGCATGGGATTGAAGATAAGCAGCCAGCACCCAGGCTCGTGGCAGGGTAGCAATCGGCAAATGTCCCGCGTATCCGTATCTATACTTCGTAGTCGCATCTACAAGAAGCCAGAATCGCCCTGATCATTCTTTACACCATTTTCTCAGGATTTTGTGATGATGGACCTACGGTTACTGTGGCATATCTTGATGATATGTTGTATGGCCACTTACAGTAAGCTGTCAGATGCGAGACGATGCCTAAACTTGCTAATCAGTGGTAGGTTCATCCAAGCTTCTGACTATTCCGACTGCTCCATTCGAATACTCAACTGGTAGTCTATCTCTACACGATCTCAATGGCATCATCGTCGACTACCACTTTGCCAACACCAGCAACACGGAAGGAGAGACACTCATCCCACCCACACTCCACGAATTCGCCAAAATCTTTGCCAATGACCTGGAAATCTCATGTGATGTCTCTTTACCGCTTCTAATAGACACGAAGCCCAGCCATGGCTCTATATTTCTAACTCTGGATCTCAACACCACGTTTCCGGATGCTGCCGGAAGGCCAAGTTCCGAAGGGTACTCCCTCACTGTTGGCAAAAGCGGGATCACTATTGCCGGAGCGAGTCCGCTTGGAGTGTGGTGGGGAACAAGGACTCTGATTCAGACTGCCGTTCTGAATGAGAACAACATAGCTCTTGGCGGCGGGCGAGATGCACCGGGCTGGGCGACTCGAGGTATCATGTTGGATGCGGGACGACACTACTATCCCCCGGAGTTCCTGGTTCAGCTATGTGCCTGGATCTCATTCTACAAGCAAAATACATTCCATCTCCACCTCAGCGACAATCTGGGATCAGTCTATCTGGACGATTTTGAATTCGAGATGCAGCTATACTCCGCCTTCCGTTTGAACTCCGACGCAGAACAAGTCGCGGGCTTGAACCGGCGCTTCAACGAATCATACACCAGATCAGTCTTCGACGATATACAAAGACGCTGTGCAGCCCGAGGCGTGACTGTAATCCCCGAAATCGAAACACCAGGCCACTCGCTCGTCATCACGCAATGGAAACCCGAGCTCGGCTTGAGTACCGACTACAGCATGCTGAACATTAGCCATCCCTCCACAATCCCAGTCGTAAAAACCATCTGGTCGACCTTCCTCCCCTGGTTCCACAGCAAGACCGTCCACATCGGCGCAGACGAGTACTCGTCCTCCCTCATCCCCTCCTACAACGACTTCGTCAACACTATCTCCACCTTCATCCGCAGCACCTCCAACAAAGCCACCAGAATCTGGGGAACCTTCCCGCCCTCTCCTTCCTACACCAACAACATCTCCCCCGCCGTCTCGATCCAACATTGGGAGTTCTTCGAAGACGACCCACTCCACGATTACATCGCCAACAACTACTCCGTCCTAAACTCCGACGACGCGTTCTACATCGTCAACAAATGGAGTGGCTCATATCTCCCATCGCTCAACTTAACACGCATCTTCCACGGCTCCCCCGACGGCTCCGCCTACGCCCCAAACATCTTCTCCACCACAAACGCCTCCCTCAACCCTCCTCGCGAGAACCCAAACGTCCTCGGCCACATCGCCCCTCTCTGGAACGACAATGGTCCAAACGCAACCGTATACTCCGAAGCGTACTACGCCTTGAAAGACGGCCTGCCCGCCCTGGCAGACAAGCAATGGGGCGGCACACTGCTCTCCGACGAATACGCCGCCATCATCGACACCCTGCACGCCGCGGTCCCGGGCCAGAACCTCGACAACGCCATCCCCACCCACAACACCTCCAACACAATCTTCGCCTACGACTTCTCCACCCCTCCAAACCACACGGGAATCGGAACCACCGTCCCCGACCTCTCCGGAAACTTCTACGACGCCCGTCTCCGAGGCCCAGGCTGCGTGATCCAAAACCACACGCTCCACCTAAACGGCTCATGTTACCTCGCCACGCCCCTAACGACGAAAGGACGGGACTACAGCCTCTCTTTCTCCGTCTATCCCACCTCCAACCGCCCCGGTGCGCTGTTTTCGAGCCCGACGGCTGGCACAGCGCTCATGGCTGGAAACGGGAGCGTGTCGAATGTGATGATGAATGCGGAGGGGAATGCGTATCTTTTGAATTATACGCTGCCGGTGGGGCGGTGGACGGATGCGAAGGTTGTTGGGGATGGGAACAGGACGTTTTTTGAGGTTGGGGACGCGGTTGAAGAAGGGGAGGTAGAAAGGATGGAGTTTACGACGACGATTGGGACGTTGGGTAATGCGTTCGTGTGGGCGGAGATGGGGTTTGAGGCGCCAGTGGAGAGGGTGGGGGAGGGGTTCAGGGGGATGATGAGGGACGTAGTTTTGAAAGGGGTGGCATAAGGGGAATGGTAGCAGGGGAGATTGGGAGATGAACGCGCCTATTTGACTTGTTGAGACGGACCATAGGAGAACATACCATACTATCACCCTTTCATCGAGCAATGCCCCTCTTGTTATTGAAACTCAATCGAGTCACGTGATGTGTCAAACTGAGTTGAGTGGAAAAACGACCAAGACTGCTACATCAAAACAGGAGTGGTATTGTAGTTTTCAGATGATATAAACTATCTTGAAAGAGGCAAGCAACCGCCCAAAGCCTCAGAACCAAGACCAAAGAACCGAGTCGAGAGAAGAAGGATCATACAGCAGCATGGCAATCCCGCAAAAAAGAAGTGATGAACAGAAGCAAAACTCTCCGCGCGCCTACGCTTGCTTTACCGTCTATTTCTTAGCAGGGTACTTCTTGAAAAGGTATCTGCAAGATCCTCGTTAGCACTTTCCTCAGAGATCGCCTCGTCTTCCGCAGCGCTTACACTGCCGCCTCAAAGATAGGATAACACATACTGAGAAACGTAGTAATCGCCCACCGCAAACAGGCCCACAACACCCGCCCAAGCACCAGCGACCTTCCAGGTCAACTGGCCAGCAGTGTACTTCCTGTACGCGCCAACGCCGAGCGCAGCGCCCAGAATACCCACCGTCACGGCATTGCCAATGACGACGGGGTTGTCGGCGTTCTCGCGCATGCGACGACCGGCCTTGCTGGCCTTGGCCTTGGCCTTTTCCTTCTCGGCGCGGGCCTTCTGCTCGGCTTCGCGTTCGCGGTCCGCGGCTTCGAGCTCGAGGCGCTCGGCTTGGGTTTCGGTCTTGATGTACTGGGACTCGAAGTCCGAATTCACGGAGGAGACGTGGGGGGTGTCGACATCGATGAGGGAGTGGGTGCTGTCGTCGGTGTGCTCGACTTCGGCGAGCGGGGGAGCGCGACTGCGGGGGGATGTTAGCGGTCGTTCCTAGAGTTCGACGTTTAAGATCATCGCGATGCCGAAGAGACGCGCCCAAAGCGGCGATAGGAGCAGGAAGCGTTGCGGGGGTTCAATTCTGGCGATGCGCAGATAGGCCCACTGAAGACTCGACGACAGCATATGCGAAAGAAAGTCGCGGCTCTAGATTATCCGAGAGATCACAAAGCTACGGCATGCCAACAGCGTGTCGTATCTTCACTCCCGAGTCCTCGAGTCGCAACCTCATCAAATTTGGCTAGCCGAACCCATCCGCTTTGTTCCCAGGGCGCAATCTTCGAGCATCCGGCACAGAAGAGAGAGAAGGATCACTTACGCCTAGACAGATGTCAGTAAAGAAGCGCAAAGTGGGATCAAAGCGCAGAACTCACATCCTCAGGGGACTGCTTAGGGCCACTGGCGGCAACGGAAGCGTAGGACATGGTGATAGAGTGTGGTGGAGAGTTTTGACGAGATGAAAGGTTTGGTGAAGGGCACGGTATGCAGTGCTTTAGCGAGCTTGGAGGCAGGACAGGAGAGTCGCTGTGGTGTATGGTGATGGTTCAGGTCTCGGGGGCACACGATGTCGATGGTGGTGGTGTTGCGGGTGGTGGTGGTGGTGGTGGTAGACAAGCGGCACGCGGGCTTTCCAAGGAAGATGGGATTAACGGCCAAGCTCGGGCCTTACGTCATGCCTCACGAAAAAACTGACCAGAGCTCCCAAGCTGCTGATCCGTAAACAACAAACACCAAATCACACTTCTTGCTACCCGGTGCCGAGACTTGCTTGCTGCTATTGTACATTTTATCTGCGCCAGATCACCTGGGATATGCAAATGCTGAGTGCAGTGTACAATGCTCGGATGTTCAAAGCGGCGCCCCTCTGCGACCATTCTACTACTTCATCTGATTATTTGCCTGAATGCCACGCCGCTGGCACGGCTCTTTCGCTCTC